GTTCATTTTTCAATATTATTTCCTTTAATATAATATAGATGTAAGATATAAAACGTTTATTTAATTATTTCTTTCTTAAAAAAGAATACCTACAATAATTGAATTATACACAAAATTTAATTAAAGATATCTATAATAATGTAAATTGTTCGTAAGTAAGGTCAGATACAAAGCTTGTACTAAATATAGAATTATTATTTCAATTTAAAATTAATGTGTAAGATACAAAACGAAATTATAATTGATTCTTTCTCAAAAAAAAAAATACCTACCATAACTGAATTATACACAAAATTTAATCAAAAATACCTATAATTATAGTATATTGGTCTGCTTACGTCTTTTTTTTGTGTACGACCAAAAGATTCTACTTTGGTCATAAAAAGAGAACATTTTAGTTTAATTAATTCTTTCTTAAAATTTTCAGTCTATTTTCTTTAGTATAATATAGATGTAAGACAAAATATTTATTTAATTAATTCTTTCTTAAAAAAGAATACGTACCATAACTGAATTATACACAAAAATTAATTAAAGATACTTATAGTAATGTATATGATACCTATATTAATGTATATTATTCGCAAATAAGGTCAGAAGCAAAGCTTGTACTAAATATAGAGTTATTATTTCAAATTAAAATTAATGTGTAAGATACAAAATAAAATTTTAATTGATTCTTTCTCGAAAAAGGATGTCTACCATAAATGAAATCCTTAATAGTATTACAAGTTGATGATCCTGTAATTTTGTATGGCAAGTGTGAGTAATTATATATTGTCATGTCACAATGATTTTTTTCTTTTACTTATTTTTGGACTTTGGTCCATATCACGTTTTTGGAAAGAATTTTTTCTTTCCATTTTTATGTCAGCAGAATATTTCATACATTTTTCTCTTACCAATATTAACTCAAAGCATTAATTTCATATTTCAACAGAATATTTGTCATATGTATATTACTCCAAATATGGTTATATATGTTCACTGACAGCTCTATTTCATATTTCATTCCCACCAAAAAAAATTAATTATTAATTAGATACAAAAGAACATCAAATAATAATTTTTTGACGGAAACCATAAACTTATATATATAATATAATATAGATATGGTAATATATGTTCACGGATAGCTCGATTTCATCTTTCTTTCCCAGCAGATATTTTGGGTGTGAAAATACAAATGAGAATGCAGAGGAGGGCAATGTGCTATGATTCTAACAGATGTATGCAGGTTGAATGTCAAATTAGCCCTAACCGTTGCGGTAACAATAACACAAGACTGTTCACTTATTCGACTGTGAGCATCTTCGTTCTTACTAATAAATTACATAATTCTTTTCAATATCCATGGACAAACATCTCCCCTGTTTAAGCCTAGAGGAACTCCCAATAATATCAGTATCTTATCTGGAATTTGTGAAATTCACTTGAGTAATTTTGCCTACTCTACCTTCTTTTGTTAAGTAGTTTCGTTTCACATAGAGAATGACAGTTGAAATTTTAGTCTAGGTTCATAAGAAGTCTCTTTATGTTGAATTTGTCGGATAAAGTTCAAATGAAACGGCATGAGCAGATAATTTTTGGGAATTATGCAATTTTACTGCTATAATTTAACGATTTTGAGGCTATAAAAAATTATTTCAAAGTGAAAAAGTGGATAGCTAGGAAAGGTGATCGAAAGTTAGAGCAGAAAAAATGGATGTAAGAAAAGAAGGAAAACAAAACGAAAAAGATTTTTAAAAAGGGGGAAATAAAAGGAAAAATAAAGACAAAAAATTTCCAAAAGATGTAGTTTAAAGCAGTCATTTTACTTGATATTATATTTTGGCTTTACATTATTTTAAGAAAAATAAAAAAGATTAGTGTACCTATATATTAATTACACGAAAGTAGAAAACTAGAGATATATTTACAACTAAGTGCAATATGGAAGGAGTTTTACTTTAATAATTAGGTACTATAAAAAGTTATTTGTAAATTTAATAATATCTATTATTACCGTGCGGAGCGCGGACAGAATCACTAGTTTATTTATAAAATCTTATCGGATTGGCATGACTCTGTGTTATATACGTTCTATTTATCTTGTTTAATTATTCATAAATTTACCGTATTGGCATGACTTTGTGCTTGTTCAATTATTAACTAAACTCTATCATATTGGTATGACTTTGTGTTACATGACGTAAATGGAAACATGATCCACAAAATTTTGGTACAATAGTATTCTTAACTATTCGAACGAGCCGCAGAATGCAGTCAAGCCTAATCCTACGAATAAACATACATTTTAAAACAAAAATAGATCCTAAAACATACGAAAACAAGAAACTGGATATATTAAACATTCGCTTCCAGATTGCTACTCATTGTATTAATGTGTTTTAATTTGTGAAGTGACTATAACTGATCAGTCAAGCCAAAATTAAGTATACGCTTATGGTTCCCGACGGAGAGATCGATCTCAGTCATTTATTCTGGGGAATGTTCTTATCAAGTAACCTTTCTCTTGCTTCCTTGGCCTGTAAATATTAACAACCAAAAAAAAGAAGAAAAATTGTTAGAAATTATAATAGAATATGGGACGGAATAATTATGCCTTGATAGTGTAGTCACTGTCCTTAAGGAATTTAAGCTTCTCAATTTCGTTGCTGCAGAGATTATGGCACAATTCCTCCAGGATTCTACAAAACCTCTGAAATCCGAATTTCAGCAATTAACTCGAATTTCCCACAAGAACGAAATAGTTGTGAGTTGTAGAAAATAAGTAGAAGAGAAAGAGACGAAGGTTTCAGATAATATCGTTTTGGAGATGAAATAGGTATTTATAATACCTCTAGGAGTCTGTTGGAATTAACAGACTCATCTCTTCATAACAGGCACCTTTTAAAACCAATAGCCACCTTCTTTTAAATTTTAAAAAAATATTAAAACGTTTTTTTCTGAAATTAAAAAGGCTAAAAACGTTTTTAATTAATCAAATAATGGGTGGCTAAATGTCACGACCCAATTTAGGATTGTGACCGGCGCTTAGGAGCAAGTGCTCCCAAGTAAGCCTCATCGGAAATTTTACAGAAAATTGGACAGAGTTTTCCCTGTTTTTGAACCATCCCAAAAATTTTTCTGTCTCAAATCAACAACCAAACATCTTAATATCATACCAAATAATTGACAACTTGTCAATTAACCAATACAAGTCTCCACCATAACTAAACCACCAACTAACCACTAGAAAATACTAATTTATCTCCAACTTTGATAAATGAGAACGATACTCAACATAAGACAATAATAATGAAAGAATACGCATGACACTAAAATAATGACTATGGAGCGACTCTAAGAGTTCAATGAAAAGACAATATCAATAAGTAAAATCTCTACCCACGCGAACAAGTGCGAGGCTCACCGAGAAATATCAACCTGTGCGCTCTAATTAACGAAATCCTCGCCTGCGTCAACTGCTGTCTCTGTAAAAAAAATAGCGGGGGATGAGTCGCTAGCTCAGTGAGTAATAACACTTAACCACAACCGTTTTTATTCGGGGACAAGTCAGAAACATGCTAGTATCTCAAAGAGAAAATAACATAAAAATGCCCTTTCAGAAACAATAAATAATTTTCAGTCTCATCACGCTTTTCTTGTAGTAAAATATAATTAACAATTCAGTAATAAGCTCGGTAACCACTGTATAATATCAGTATTCACATTTTGGGAGGTTTCAATGAACGGATCATGTAATCGGTATAACTGTGGACTTCTTTACCATAAGTTATATATAACGGTAGTCCCTACTCGAGGGAAATCGATAACAGTATGTTAGTTCTACCTTCCCACTAGCGAGGGCTATAACGGTAATCTGTAATTACAAGGTGCATCAGGTCTAACGAACCCGCCGTTAGCTACGGGATCCTTCAATGTCTACTCCCATTTATACTTGTCTCTGTGATCCGTATATACTCGTAGAAACTATTTTAAAATAATATAGGGCATTTCAGTTCTTATCAAATCATATAATTTCCTTTCGATAACAATAAATTCAAGTAACGGTAAAACAGATCTAGTGACAACGAAAATATTTAAAATCACGGTACTCATCTCAAATAACTATTTCGGTTTCATATCGAGTAAAAGACTTGTCCCACATGCAACTCAAAATAATCAGTAACATATTCATATTAAAAATCATGTGTAAATCATGCAAGTTATGAAAACACAAATTGCGGTAAGATTACTACTCACAGTACTCGTACCGAAATTCCAAATACTTCACCTCGAGCAATTCGTACAACTTCCTCCAATTCAATCTATAATTACATAATATCGGTCTCATGTTAATTTCTATGTTTAGTCTAATTTATAGCTAATTTAGAATACGCAACCCTTAAGGTTCCATATTTAACTCTTAATTCGTCGAATTATATTTACCCACATATGAGTAATTACTAATCTATCAACTCCAACCTATTCATATGATTTACCCAGTTAATTCATGAAAAAGTCTCATGAATTTCTCCCAATTTCCTTGACTATATCTTTCAAATTTTTAATCCAACTTCAAAATTATATCTACTCAGCCCGATAAAGATTATGTATATAAAATTCCATAGTCTTAAAAGAGGAAGAAATACATGTAACTACCTGGAGTGTATTGCTGAAACTTAAGGAATTGTATGCCAAAGATTAGATGAAACACGGTCTTCAGCGCTAAAGAAACATCCGAGACTCTCTTTCGTTTGTTTTTCCTGTTCGATGCTTTCTTCCTTTCCTTCTAAGGGGTTTTTTTCTTCTGAAATCATTTTGCTTCTGTCTGTTCCCCTTTCTTTCCCTTTTCTTTTAGTTGTGGCTTTGACCTTCTTTTAGTTAAAGTAGGTTTCTCCCCCTTTTTTTTAATTTGTTTATTTGTTATTTTTTTATGGGTAAATTACTTAATTTCCCTTTTTTGTATGAGGAGTATTACATTCTCCCCACCTTATGAAATTCGGTCCTCGAATTTAGCTCTGGTACGTACCTGTAAACTGAAATAAATGAGGATACTTGACTCGCATAGCATCTTTTATTTCCCATGTAGCTTCTTTAACAGTATGATTTCTCCATAATATTTTCACGAACACAATTTCTTTTGACCATAGTTTTCTTATTTGTCTATCAACAATTGCCATCGGCTCTTCCTCATAAGACAACTTCTCATCAAGCGGTATAGTTGGTGCTTCAAGCACCTGTGATGAGTCTGATATATATTTTCTTAGCATTGAGACATGAAACACTGGGTGAATAAAAGATATCTCAGGAGGAAGTGCCAAACGATAAGCCACCGCTTCCACTCGGTTTATTATCTCGTACGGTCCTATAAACCTGGGGCTCAGCTTACCTCTTTTCCCAAATCGCATCACACCTTTTATAGGAGAGACTCGTAGGAACACTTTGTCCCCAATTGTGAACACTAAATCTCTTCTTCTCTTATCCGCATAAGATTTTTGTCTGCTTTGAGCTGCAAGCAATCTCTGTCTGATCAACTAGACCTTGTCCATAGCTTCTTGTACTAAGTCAGGTCCCAATAAGTTAGACTCACCAGCTTCAAACCATCTAATAGTACATCTTCTACCGTACAATGCTTCGTACGGTGCAATTTGAATACTGGACTAGAAGCTATTGTTGTAAGCAAATTCAGCTAAAGGTAGATAAGCATCCCAACTACCTCCAAACTCAAGAATGCAAGCTCTCAACATATCCTCCAAGATCTGTATAATATGTTCGGACTGCCCGTCTGTCTGTGGATGAAATGCAATACTAAGATCTACTCGTGTACCCAATGCTTCTTGAAAAGATTTCCAAAAGCGTGAGGTAAATTGTGATCCTCTATCAGAGATGATGGATATTGGAACTCCGTGAAGTCGGACAATTTCGTTCATAAATATATGTGCATACCTGACTCCACCATATGTAGTCTTCACCGGCAAAAAGTGTGTTGATTTCGTCAGTCGATCTATAATCACCCATACCAAGTCATAACCTCTAAGGGTTCGTGGTAGCCTGGTGACAAAATCCATAGTAATTTTTTCCCACTTCCACTCTGGAATCTCAATTTGTTGTAGTAGTCATGCGGGTTGCTGATGCTCAGCCTTGATCTGCTGACAAGTCAAACAACTAGAAATAAAGTTAGCAACATCTTTCTTCATACCTTCCCACCAATAAAATTGCTTCAGGTCATGGTATATTTTTGTGGATCCAGGATGTATAGTGTATTTAGAGTTGTGGGCTTCTTTAAGAATAGCATGTCTCAACCCATCTACGTCTGCTACACATAGCTTGTCTCCCATTCGAAGAACACCATCACTTTCAACAATCATATCCTTGCTTTTACCAGCTAAGACCTCATCTCTGTATTTACATAATCGTTCATCTTCATATTGGGTGGCCTTAATGCGCTCAACTAATGAAGACTTAGCCTGAGTACAAGCCAACAATGCCTCTGAATTTCCGATACTAAATCTGATACCTGTACCTTCTAGTCTCTGAATATCTTTGGCAAAAAGTCTCTTTGCAGGGGCTATATGCCCATAGATTTTCTGCTCAATGCATCAGCCACCACATTGGCTTTTCCAAGATGATATAAAATAGAACAATCATAGTCTTTGAGTAGTTCCATCCACCGACATTGCCGAAGATTCAGATCTCTCTGCTGAAAGATATACTTCAAGCTTTTATGGTCGGTATAAATCTCACAAGTTTTGCCGTATAGATAATGCCTCCAAAGTTTTAGAGCAAATACCACTGCAGCCATCTCCAAATCATGTGTATGATAGTTTTGCTCGTGCTTTTTTAATTGTCTCGAAGCATAAGCTATAACACGACCATTTTGCATGAGAACACATCCTAATCCCACCTTCGAGGCGTCACAGAATACTGTAAATCCTCCAGAACCTGATGGTAAGGCTAATATTAGTGCAGTTGTCAGACACGTTTTGAGTTTCTGAAAGCTTTGCTCACATTCCTCTGTCCACTGAAACTTTGCATTTTTCTGTGTTAGCTTGGTCAGTAGCGCTGCTATTCTGGAGAAATCCTGCACAAAACGCCTATAATAGCCTGCTAAGCCTAAAAAACTGCGAATCTCTGTAGGAGAAGTAGGTCTGGGCCATTTCTGCACAACTTCGGTCTTCTTAAGATCTACCATAATTCCATCTTTGGATACAACATGTCCCAAAAATGATACCGAGTCTAGCCAAAATTCACACTTCGAGAACTTAGCATAAAGCCGATGTTCTCGCAATGTCTGCAAACACAGTCTTGAGATGATTCTCGTGTTCTCCTTAGTTACGAGAATATATCAGGATATCATCAATAAATACTATTAAAAATCTATCCAGAAACGGCTTAAACACCCTATTCATTAAATCCATGAATGCAACTGGAGAATTAGTCAGTCCGAAAGGCATCACAAGAAACTCATAGTGCCCGTATCAAGTTCTGAAAGCAGCCTTAGAAATATCTTCATCTTTGATTCTAAGTTGATGATAACCAGAACGGAGGTCAATCTTTGAAAAGTGGGCAGCTCCTTGTAACTGATCAAACATGTCATCTATACGAGGCAAAGGATATTTATTGCGTATTGTTATCTTGTTCAACTGCCTGTAGTCAATGCACATTCTCAGGGATCCGTCTTTTTTCTTTATGAATAGTACCGGTGCACCCCATGGTGATACACTAGGTCTAATAAAACCCTTATCTAACAAATCTTGTAACTGTTGCTTTAGCTCTCTCAACTCTGCTGGTGCCATTCGATATGGGGGTATCGATATGGGTTGTGTGTCAGGTAGCAAATCAATACCAAAGTCTATTTCTCGTACTGGAGGCAATCCTAGTAAATCCTCAGGAAATACATCAGAAAATTCTCTCACTATTGGTACATTTTCTATACTAACTGTTTATCATTTATAATAGCTAAGAGACCCAAGCAACCTTTCTTCAGAAGTCGTTGAGCCTTCATAAAAGAAACAATTTTGCAAGTCTCTGGAACCTGACTCCCTCTTAGAATAAAACTAGGTTTATTTGGTATCTCAAACTTAAATATCTTTGCATGAAAATCGACTATAGCATAGCAAGAAGATAACCAATCCATTCCCATCAGCATGTCAAAGTCAATCATATCAAGTACAATAAGGTCAGGTAGAGTATCTCTACCCTCAACCCAAATCTGACAAGCACGATACACGTATTCAGCTAATAGAGACTCTCCAACATGTATAGCAACTAGAAAAGGATCATTCAATAGCTCGGGCTTGTCACACCTCCTTTTTATACATACACCCGCAAGGGCGTAACGGAGTTTTTCCAATTAAAGGACAATCGGAACGGGATTTAATTATTAATATTCAGAGTCGCCACTTGAGAGATTAATGGTGTCCCAAGTCACCGATTGAATCCTGAACCGAGGAAAAATATGACTCTGTTAACAGTCCGCGAACCAGAAATCCGAGTAAGGAATTCTGTTAACCTGGGAGAAGGTGATAGGCATTCCCGGGTTCCGTGGTTCTAGCACGGTCGCTTAACTGTTGTATTTGATTTTATCTGATTTTAATACATGTTAACTTATGTGCTTTTTATTCATAAACCGCTTTTATTGTTATTTTATTTTAGCAGAATTGCGACGTTGTGAAAACGCGTTTCGATCCACATCACAATCAATGCACCCGTGGTTGTCAACACATTTTGACTTCGTCGAGATTTGGATTTGGGTCGCATCAATGCGCACCCGAGTTTAAGAAGGTACTTTAATTAAAATCGTGCCTAAAGATGACGTAATATTATTTTAAAGAAGACCATGGAATTTGCTAAATGGCCATTCCAAATTTTTATCATTTTAATAACCAATTGTTGACAGCCCGCGTATGTGATTTTATTTGGGCGAGGCTAGCAGCAATCCCGAAGTAACTATGATTTCCTACTTATTTATGTGTCTCTAAAAGACTAATGAATTTAGAATTGAATTACATTGAAGTAAACTAAAAACCAAATTTAAATAAAAATGGGCCTGCCTCATGACTTTGGTACAGCCCAATTGGCCCAACGAATATGGGTACAATTCCACTATCACATTTGATATAACATCAACGAATCACTACAATGACCATGCATACCTTCATTTAGCTGATAGCCGTGAATTCCAAAATTACTAAATCGATTTGTCCTACCAATTACCTATCAAGACATGCTGCTCTAATGAACTAAACCAACTATGAATGAATTTTGTTTCATGTTTTTTAACTGGTTTTAATACCAATCACCCAACAATAACTATGGTTTGCCTACCAAACGATTTCAGAACCTTTAATCAA